CCTGTTTTTATATTCTGAGCTAGTTTACTCTCATAATCTATCTTACTCTTCTTTATAACTTTTTTTGTGGCTTTCTGTTGGCCTTTAAAGATTTCCCAGTCTACTAGTTTCCCACTACTCTTAGCTTTTTTGTATGTGTTTTTTTTTCAATTTGATACTTTCCTTTATTTCCTTAGACATCCATAGCTGGCTCGCTCTTTTCCTACAGTTCTTCCTTATCACTGGGGATTCTGAGGATTCTCCTCATTTCAGTCCAAAATGGCTTTCCACGTATACGGAGACTGTGACCCTTTGTTCTGTACCCCTTGCCAGAGGAAACACCATCCCTGCGTCCAGTTTGTCCAGCCTCTTCAGAATTGTATATATTTTAATGAGATAAATACACAAGGAATATCTAAAAGTTGAAGAAATAACAATACAACAATCTAAATTTCCGAAGTGCTTTACAAATTGAGCCAAAAAACTAATAAGGTAGCAAATATTAGTCAGATCAATAAGTAGTTTGAGAAAACTGAAGGGAATGCATGGTGACACTAGCCTTGACTTTCCAAAAAAAATCCTCAGAAATGAGATGTGGTGCAGGCAAGAAATTTTACAGCAAAGTTCAGAAATGGTAGATGGGATGAGGGAATACAAGCCTGGAGGCCTGTGGGTCTTGATTATGAGTAAACCTACAAAGCATGATGATAAAATTTGTGAAGTTGTATAAATATACTGGCTAATCAGGACAATTGTCTTGGATATATAAAGACCTTAAGTTATATTTCACCATTTTGAGTTTTTTGAGGAAATATCAACACATGGTTATACAGTGATGAGTGTCATGTATATAGCGTTTTGTTGAGTGCTGTATAAGAAACGTGTCCTGTAAATCAAAGTACATCAAGAATGAGGTCATACTTTTGAGCTCCTGAGTTTACTCTCCTTTATTTGGTGGGTTATATTTTCCTTTGTTATTTCTCCCTCTCCCCACCCCACCGGACTACTGAAGTTTCTACATGTGCCAGAAAACATAGGGTCATAAATAGGCCACTCATCCCATCAAATATGCTCCACCATTTGATGAGATCATGGCTGATCTGATAATCCTCAGCTCCATTTTGCTGCCTTTGCCCCATAATCCTTGATTCCTTTACTGATCCTTGAATAGAATTAACAACATAGCTCCTACAGATCTCTGCGGTAAATAATCCCACAGATTCAGTATCCTCAGAAGGGATTCCTCCTCATCTCTTCTTACAAGTCAGCCTTTACTCTGAGATTATGCTTTCTGTACAGGACAGACATGAGCAATTTCCCACATTGTCAGGTAGATGCCAGTGTTGTAACTGTGCCTGGAACAGCTTGTCTAGGGGTGCAACAGGTTCTGGAGCACAAGTCTTCAGTACTATTTGCAGCATCCACAGTTCTTTTGGTTTTTCTTCAGTACTATTGCTGGAATGTTGTCAGGGCCCCTAGCCTTTGCATTATTCAGTGCTGTCAACACTTTGATGGAGTGAACTAAATTGGCTGAACAATGGTATGTGTGATGATGGGGATTACTGGACAAGGCTGAGATGAATTATCCTCTAGGCAATTCTATCTGAAGATTATTGTATGGAGTTTAATTTAGATAAATGTGAGGTGCTGCATTTTGGAAAGGCAAATCGGGGCAGGACTTATACACTAAATGGTAAGGTCCTGGGGAATGTTGCTGAACAAAGAGACCTTGGAGTGCAGGTTCATAATTCCTTGAAAGTGGAGTCGCAGGTAAACGAGATAGTGAAGAAGATATTTGGTACACTTGGCTTTATTAGTCAGTGCATTGTGTATGGTAGTTGGAAGGTCATGTTATGGCTGTCCAGGACATTGGTTAGGCCAATTTTGGAATACTGTGTTCAATTCTGGTCTCCCTGCTATAATAAGGATTTTGTGAAACTTGAAAGGGTTCAGAAAAGATTTACAAGGATGTTGCTGGCTTGTAGGGTTTGAGCTATTGGGAGAGGCTGAATAGACTGGGGCTACTTGCCCTGGAGAGTCAGACCCTGAGGGGTGACCTTATAGAGGTTTATAAAATCGTGAGGGGCATGGATAGGGTGAATAGCCAAGGTCATTTTCACCGGGTCAGGAAGCTGGAGGGCATAGGATTAAGGTGAGAGGGAAAGATTTGAAAAGGACCTAAGGGGCAACTTTTTCACACACAGCGTGGTGCGTGTATGGAATGAGCTGCCAGAATAAATGGTGGAGGCTGGTACAATTACAACATTTAAAAGGCATATGGATGGATACATGAATAGGAAGGGTTTAGAGGGATACGGGCCAAATGCTGGCAAGTAGGACTAGATTTATTTAGGATATCTGGTCAGCATTGACGAGTTGGACCGAAGGGCCTGTTTCCATGCTGTACATCTCTATGACGTTCTGGTCCTAGACTTTCCTATAAAGGGAAACAATTGCGGAGGTGATAGCCTAGTGGTATTGTCACTGGACAGAAACCCAAATAATGTTTTGGGGACCCATGTTTGAATCCCGTAACAGCAGCTAGTTTGAGGGATTCAGTAAAAATCTGGAATTAAGAGTTTGATGATGACCATGAATCCATTGTCAATTGTCAGAAAAACCCATCTGGTTCATTGATAACACAGTGTGGAGCTGGAGGAACACAGCAGGCCAGGCAGCATCAGAGGAGCAGGAAAGTTGAAGTTTTGGGTCGGGACCCTTCTTCAGAAATCTGTAGCAGTTGGAAGTTCTTGAAGTTCTTTTTTAAAAAGTGAATGACTTGCCCACTAGATTCTATATATTATTCTAAGTCTAATTTGAAAACCTTTATTTAAAGAACACATCCGTGAAGTCCAGATGATTTCTTTTTCTCCCCTGCAGAAAGGTCTATGGTTGCGTATGCCAACAAGCTTTCCCACTAATGTGATATACATCTGTTCGATAACTCTTTACATTTGGTTTGGAACTTTACAAACGTACTATGCTTGACATTTTCTGCAGAAAGAGGAAGCATTTGATAACAGTGATAGTAGAAACTGCAGCTCTGGAAAATCTGAGATAACAAGGTGTAGAGCTGGATGAATGCAGCAGGCCAAGCAGCATCATAGGAGCAGGAAGGCTGACATTTCGGGCCTAGACCCTTCATCAGAAATGGGGGAGGGGAAGGGGGTTCTGAAATAAATAGGGAGAGAGGGGGAGGCGGATAGAAGATGGATAGAGGAGAAGATAGGTGGAGAGGAAACAGACAGGTCAAAGAGGCGGGGATGGAGCCAGTAAAGGTGAGTGTAGGTGGGGAGGTAGGGAGGAGATAGGTCAGTCCAGGGAGGACGGACAGGTTAAGGGGGCGGGATGAGGTTAGTAGGTAGGAAATGGGGGTGCGGCTTGAGGTGGGAGGAGGGGATAGGTGGGAGGAATAATAGGTTAGCGAGGCGGGGACGAGCTGGGCTGATTTTGGGATGCGGTAGGGGGAAGGGAGATTTTGAAGCTTGTGAAATCCACATTGATACCATTGGGCTGCAGGGTTCCCAAGCGGAATATGAGTTGCTGTTCCTGCAACCTTCGGGTGGCATTGTTGTGGCACTGCAGGAAGCCCAGGATGGACATGTCGTCTGAGGAATGGGAGGTGGAGTTGAAATGGTTCACGACTGGGAGGTGCGCTCACCTTTACTGGCTCCATCCCCGCCTCTTTGACCTGTCTGTTTCCTCTCCACCTATCTTCTCCTCTATCTATCTTCTTTCCGCCTCCCCTCTCTCCCTACTTATTTCAGAACCCCCATCCCCTCCCCCATTTCTGATGAAGGGTCTCGGCCCAAAACGTTAGCCTTCCTGCTCCTATGATGCTGCTTGGCCTGCTGTGTTCATCCAGCTCTACACCTTGTTATCTCAGCATTTGATAACAGTTGTTTTCTGTTAGCCACTACGTGAAGGAGGGCAAGATTAAAATGGAACAGGAATGCACGGACATGGTTGTTAGGCCCACATTCAAAATTACGATGCATGGGAATGGAAAGACTTAGGGTGTTGTTATCCTGCTAAAATTATCTTTTTTCATTATTATTTGGTAGAATTCTAGTATCAATGATTGTCATCAACCAAGTTAATTACTCCGTGTCATTCCTTTCTGAAAATTATTGAATTTAATGCTAATGTGGTGTTTTGGGTTGTTGCATGTTGTCTGTGAAATCATTACTTTGTCTGTTTCTATTCTTGTTTGAGTTAAACACTGAACATCTTCATACTATATGTCACAGGCCATGGGAATTTACCACACCCTGACTAATAAACCAGAAACAACAAAGGAAGAACTGGCAATGGATGCATATCATGCTGACCGATCACCGCCACTGGTTGGTGAAAGTCAAACATTCCCTTCAGAGAATGAAGTTCTGAAGTCAAAAATAATGTGAAATTTCTACTGAATGACAGATGAAAAGTCCAGCTGCAGAATGTGCCGGATTTTGATTGTTTTGAAATTTGCAATGAAAATGTGTCATGCTCATTACATTTTTATACTTTTCGATGAACTGATTTTGTTGGATGACTGTAGCTTATTTTCCACCTATACAACTGCATCATGGTTATAGAAAAGGTACTTTTGAACTAATGGGATCAGTAGGTTAAATTCTTTGAAAATGAAAATAAATATTTAATTATTTCTTTTCCTCGCCCCCAAAAATGTTTCACTATTTTAACACTTCTGGCGAAAAAGGAACTGGTTCTCCTCTTGCTTGTGATTGGAAAAGCCTAAGTAAGCAAGTTACCCTGCATGGAGGATCACAAGAGATATAAACTTTAGCAACAAATATGTCACCTCTGTGCAAAGAGAAGTAGATTAGCAAAAGGAAAAGATTTAATGGAGGGTGCTGTATAGTAACCAGTATCATAACTTGGTGGCATAACTGTGACAAAATTATGCAATTAAAAGATGAAACAAAAACAATTACTTTTTGGAATCTATACTTATGTCTCCTGCTTTTAAAAGAAAGAAATGAATAACATTTCAGAAACAAAACAAAATTGAAGTCACGCAAATAGAAGTTCACAGTGGGTTTGGGGTTTATGCTGACAATGAGGAAATTTAAACCAGTTTGACTGTCCAAATTTTACAATGTATTTTTTATTCGAGAAGTAGACTTGCTGTTAGATGGTGCCACACAGTGATAATAATCTGCCTTGATGCCTGTGAATCATGCCCTAGCATGGTTCTAATTTCTGTTGTTTTGTTTGGAAAAAAAAACTTTGAGGAAAGAACAAAGGTTCGGACATCAGTAGAAGCCTGCAAACTCACCTTCTGTTCACTTTTGTGGCAGGAAAGTGAAGTGGAGGGAGGGTTTTTTTTTCTATTAGAGGGAGTTTGTTTTCCTATATTCTCTTGATTTGCTTGTTAAAATGAGACACTTACATTGTTCTAAGTACAATATTACTTATTTATCATTTCAGGTTTCATAAATTGTGTTGCAATATTCTTGGTTGTGATATTAGGCAAATATGATGCAAATGAACTTTGTTTTATTCATTAATGGGATGTGGGCATCGCTGGCTAGACTAGCATTTATTGCCTATCCCTAATTGCCCAGAGGGCAGTTAAGAGTCAACTACATTGCTGTGGGCCTGGAATCACATGTAGGCCAGACCAGGTGAGAATGGCAGACTTCCTTCCCTAAAGGACGTTAGTGAACCAGATGGGTTTTTCCTGACAATCGGAAATGGGTTCACGGTCATCATTAGATTCTTAATTCCAGATTATTATTGGATTCACATTCCACCATCTGCCACAGCAGGATTCGAACCCAGGTCCCCAGAACATTACCTCAGTCTCTGGATTAATAGTCTAGCGATAATACCACTAGGCCATTGCCTACCTGATAAAAGCACTACCCGAAAGCATAGCCCTTACTTTATCTCCAAGCTACAAAGAATTTGTGTTTACCATTCATTTTATATTTGAGATACTATCTAAATTTGGCCTGCCAAACTAACCTGCATCAACTAATTAAGATTCATATTAGCATTTGCATCAGGAATCTTCCATCTGTGCAAGCTATTGAGTGAATGAACTGAACATTTTTGTCACCAATTATCAAAGATGCCAGACAAGAAATCTTTAGCATCTTAGTGGAATTTAAGCTTGAATATCAAGAATTAAAATAATTAGTTGAACAAGTAGATTGCAAAGTAAATAATAGATTACAAGGAATTCAAGTGTCTCCTCAGCATTAAATTATGGCTGATTATGATTAGTATCAGAAGTTGATGTAATTTGAGTTTAGTGTAGGCTAAACTCCTTGGATGGTTGACAAACTAATATTAGAGAACCAACATATTGAATGGATCAAAGTTAATGCACTTGTGGTCAAATGTTTTCAGACAAATACAAGAAATTCCTTTCAGCTGAACTATTTCTGAAGTGTTCCTTTGAGATATCGAAATGAAAGAATATTTTTATAGCATGGCTTTCACAACCTCAGGATGTCAGTGTGACATACAATCTATAAAATGAATTTAAAATCAGCATTACAAGGTAGGAAACACTACAACAAATTTGAGCACAGCAACATGAAGCTCATTGAAGGATAAATATTCACTAGAATACCTAGGAGATCTTCTTTGGAATAGTGCTGTGAGGGTCTTTTATCCCCGTGAAAGAGCAGATGGGACTTTTATCGGAGAAACAGCAAATCTGACCATGCCACACTTCCTCAGCACTGCAAAGCCTCAAGTAGGACTCAAATGCACCACCTTCTGATCTAGAGGTGAGGGAACTACCAGTTGAATCACCACTAACAAACTATAAAAGAGTTATCCATTCCTCTAAGCTGTTCTCCTAATGAGTAAATTTCTACACTTATAACTGAATCTTAACTAATCTCAGGAAAGCTTGCATTTCTAATTGACAAACATATATTTGTTGGGTGTAGTGTTATGCTTTAGATGGGAAGAGTACGCTGTTGCCATACTCACACTGCTTTATGTCAACATAAAATAAAAAATATTTTTATCTAAGCCCTGATAATATGCTTTCTCTACATTAGCTTTGGAATGGAAAGGTCAGTCAAGCAGGTTTCTTTTATAAGAAACAAATAGTTATGTTTATTAAACAAAATGTATTTCACAAGCATGCAAGAGATAACAAGGTGTAGAGCTGGATGAACACAGCAGGCCAAGCAGCATCAGAGGAGCAGGAAGGCTGACGTTTCAGGCCTAGACCCTTCTTCAGAAATCACAACCTCACAAGCATGCAAAATTGGTTAACAACACATTTAAATATGAAAATATAAAATTTACCTCTTTGACAGCCCAAAACCCACAGAAAAACACATTTCAAGTAAAAGGTAAAATTCAGATTTCTCACGGCAGAGATTCACTTTAAAAGAAAAAAAAAAATTCTGGACAGTGGTGTTTCTTCTTAAAGGCACAGAGGACATGCTATAGAATGTTCTGAGTTTTGTTGACCTGCTGTTCTTGCATATTTGACCAAGTCACTGATCATTCACGTTTGACTCTGGGGTCTTGGCAGATACAGTTTCCTCAGGAAATACAATATTGAGAAGTTTTTTCACTTGCTCTTCTAGAAGAACAATTAGGTTTCACCCTGATCTCGCATTCAAGGTGTTTCAGAAACAGGAGACGAGCTGAGCAACTTTTTCTTCAGCAGGCTTTCCCCACCTCAAAATCTAAATACCAACTCAGAGCCTACAAAACATTGTTTAAACAGTTCCAGGAGCAGTCTCTAGCAAAACAAGCAGTTATCGTAAGTCAGAGATTTCCAAGCCTTGTTTATGAAAAGGTTCCACGTCTTTTCATTGACCTTTCACAAAAAAAATGCAGATATTTCCACAATCCCTGAAACTTGTCCACAAAATTATTAAGTATAAAGTGGCTTGGTAACGATAATTATAATTTGAGTTTCTGTAACATTTGCAGGTAGCTTACAAAATTGCTTTTTTATATGTGCTAGACAAAGCATACTTCTGTTGTATATAGTTCCAACCTTTAAGAATGAGATGAGCCTTTTCAGATTTCCAGATTTTTATTGAATTCAAAATCCAACATCTCCCATGATAGGATTTGAACCCTTGCATCTAGATCATGAGCTTTGGGTCTTTATTTACCAGTTCAGTAACATTGTTACAATGCTATCTTTTTTAAAATTAATTGCTGGTTAGGTCAGTGTTTATTGCCATCACTAATTGCCCAGAGGGCAGTTGAAAGTCAACTACATTGCTCAGGGATAGTAGGAACTACATTGCTCAGGGGCTGGAATCACATACAGGCTAGACCAGGGAAGGATGGTAGATTTCCTTCTCTAATGTCCTTCAGGAATAATTAGGAAGACCCCAAGTTCATGTTCAGGTGGCATTTGTTTGAACCCTACTGTGGGAAATGTTGGAATTTGAATTCAATAAAAATCTGGAAACCTTAATGGCAATTATGTCACCACTATTGATTGTTGTAAAAACTGAACTGGTTCATTGATGCCCTTTAGGGAAGAAACTCTGCCATCCTTATCTGGGTTATTTTGGGTTATTTATCCTTATTTTGGGTCTGGCGACCCTTCCTCAGAACTCAAGAGTTCTGGGGAAGGTTCACTGGACCCAAAATGTTAACTGTGATTTCTCTCCATAGATGCTGCCAGACCTGCTGAGCTGTTCCAACAATTTGTTTTTGTTTGATTTACAGCATCCGCAGTTCTTTTGGTTTTTATTCCTACAGCAGTGTGGTTGGCTTTTAACTATCCTCTTAGCAATTAGGGATGAAAAACACATACTGGCCTAGCCAGCAATACTCCTATCCCATGAACAAATTAAAAAGTTGGCTTTTTTTTGCAAATTCGCAAATTTATTGAGATAGCCAGTACAGCATGACATACTGTGAATCCTTATGGAAGAAAACAAAGCAACTAGGTTTGCTTAAATCACAAATACATAAATGAAGTAAACTGTTCAATAGTAAAAGTCATGAAAATAGTTACTTTTTATAAACATTAGGTACATTCATTTTCAATAATTGAAACTGTTTAGCAGTCATAGAGTTGCAAAGCACAGAAACAGACCCTTCAGTCCAACTCATCCAGGCTGACCAAATATCCTAAATTAGTCTAGTCCCATTTGCCAGCACTTGGCCCATATCCCTCTAAATCTTTCCTATTCATGAATCCATCCAGAGATGCCTTTTCAATATTGTAATTATACCAGCCTCCTCCACCTTGTCTGGTAGCTCATTCAATACATACACCACCATCTGTCTGAAAAAGTTGCTCCTTAGGTCCCTTTTAAATCTTTCCCCTCTCACCTTCAACCTATGCCCTCTAGTTTTGGATTCCCCTATTCTGGGAAAAAGACCTTGGCTATTCAACCTATCCATACCCCTTATGATTATATAAACCAGTAGAAGGTCACCTCTTAGCTTCCAACATTCTAGTGAAAACAGCCTATTCAACCTTTCCCTATAGCTCAAACCCTCCAACCCCAGCAACATACTTGAGACAGTTCAGAAAAAATTTACAAGTTTAACAAAACATATTTCCTATAACAGGGAGACTATAGTTGAGCACAGTATTCTAAAAGTGGCCTAACCAATGTCCTGTATAGCTGCAACATGACCTCCCAACTCCTATACTCAATGCACTGATCAATAAAGGCAAGTATACCAAACGTCTTCTTCACTACCCTGTCTACCTGCAACTCTACCTTCAAGGAACTATGGACCTGAACTCCAAGTTCTTTTAGTTTGGCAAAACTTCCTGGGACCTTACCATTAAGTGTGAAGTCCTGCCCTGATTTCCCTTTCCAAAATGCAAAACTTCACATTTATCTAATTAAACTCCATTTGCCACTCCTCAGCCTATCTAATCAAAGTCCCATTGTACTCTGAGAAAACCCCCTTCATTGTTCGTTACACCACCAACTTTGGTGTCATCAGCAAACTTACTAACCATAC